TGGATGTGTACCTGGGCCAGGTGAATCTCCTGGAGACATGAATCCAGAGCTGGGGAGGTCGGCACCTGAGGCCAACTCACTTTGACACTGCAAATGACTCATAATTATTAGGCACTGTTAGAATTTTGCAACTGCCAAAATGTTTATACAAGTGTTTTTAAAAGTACCTGGAGATCACAAAACTTTGTCCTCTAAAATTTTTAATTGAATTATTTTGACTGAGCCTCTTGGTTACCTCTGAATCTCCATTCTGCTTGTTTCCCCTCTAAACAGAACCCTCTCTTTTAGCTGGTCACAACCACAGTATTTCCCAGTCTTGTGTGCAACTAGGTGTGTCTGCGTGACTAATTTCTGCCAATGGGATACAATAGAATTATTGTATGCAATTTCTGAGAAGTATTCTTAAAGCAAAGAGTCAAGCCCTTCAGCTCTCTTCCTTCCTGCTGGGTGGAATAAAGACATGATGACTGGAGTTTAAGCAGCCATTTTGAACCAAGAAATGGAAGCCATGTACCAAAGATTTGAAGCAATGAGAAAAAGGAGGAGTTAGGCTTCTGATAATCTGAACCTAACAGTTTTCAATTCTGGAACAGCTACCTGCAGTATTTTAATGTGGACACGAGAGAAACTTTTACAGGTTATTTTTCTATGACTTCTGTAACTTCACTATTATTTGAGAACATCTCTGAATAACAACGGAACCGGATCTTAACTGATAGAGGTGTCCTTGGTATAGTGAGTCGTGAGCAATGATTTGCAGGTTCTTGTTCTGATTGTGAGATCAGCTCATGTCTTTCATTATGATCCAGGCCAATGTAGAAACACATAAAATCTGTACAGAAGCACAGGTGCTTACCGTGTTGTTTACAAAGCAAAATACTCTTCAGGACACACACGCCCACATACATGGTGGCAGGAGCCGGTGTGCTGTGTTATTTTAGTTCTTCTTCCTGATGCTAACCTACCACATGTTTGCTTTGTGGGTACTTTGCCTGGAGGTACATTAAAGACGCTTTAAAACTCATCTTGTCTAATTAGGACCAAGCAAAGTGAGATGGAAAACTCAGATGAGATAAGTCTGAACAGAAGAAAAAACAAGAAGTATTCAAAGAGGGAGGAAAAACTGCTTTATGTTGCCTGAGAGTTTAGGAAGAGTTCGTTTCATGGTGAAGATTGTTTTGAGCAACAAAGAGAGACTTCTGCAAAACTTGGCAAATGCTTTTGCATTTCCATGGCAAAAGTCAACCAGAGACGTGGCAAAACATGCTTGGCTTGAGGACAGTATCTCCTGGAGTGACATTTAGTGAGATGCCTAGGAAGCCTCTGAAGAGTAAAGATCAAGCGGATAGAAGTCCATGGGTTATAGTTTGTCTTAAAGCATAGATGGTTCAAGAAGATTTTGAAACTACCCAAAACCAAAGCAAGTGGTTTGTGTAGTGCACCTTCTCAAAGGCTTTTCCCCAAACACCTGTGGACGTCATCAAGGAGCAGGGCAGACAGATGGGCCTATTTGGGAAACGAGATGTCTCACAGAACGTTTTTCAGTGAAGCATCTTCAGGAGTGAATTCTGTAGTTATCTGATGGAAGTCTATTTGAAAACTGAACATTTAAGTCCTACGTGAAGTTACTTGGATTTAGGAACAAATGATGAGCTCACAAAAGTGCTTGTGGAAGATATTTTAATACATTCTGGCTGCTTTCGAATATATTACTGTCACTCAAAGTGCACTGAATGAATTTCTGAAATATTAAGTACGAGATCATATACATGGTTTTAATATTTGCCTCATTAATCATTAAAACCAGGGGATCCCTTGTCTATTGAATATGTGCACTTCACTTGGTGTTTTCATAATACTTTGTAAAATTCTTGTTCGTTTCTGCACTTTAACATGTGAAAATATCTTTCACAACTCTGTTGACTGTTTCAGTATTTTATTAAACTATAAAAGCCTAAAGCAAAGGCAGAATCCAAGAGTTCATTTACATCCCAATTTTACTAAGCACAGAAACCTGATCATCTCAGAAAACCTCCAACCCAATATTTAACCTGGACAATTGACTGCTGAAAGATGATGCTTCTTCAATACAAAGATGGTATGTGTCCTCATTGCCACCCCCTGCTCTGTACCATTGCTAATAGTGAACAAGAACAGCTCTTATCATAGCTTCCAAGTTACTCTGGGTAGCTTCTAGAGCACCAAACATTCTGAACTAACCTTTACTAGGAGTACACTTAGGGATTTTCTTTTAAAAGCATTTTTACTTTCATATCACAAAGCAAAGTTTAAATTACACGGGGAAGTGCGATTAAACCTAGAAAATGTAAATTTTTTTCTTCATGAGCACTTAAGACAAAATGTGGTTTTAAAACTATACCGTGGAAAAGATCCATGCACACTTTCTCCCTCACACTTTATTAATTCTTATCTAACACTTAACATTAAAAAATTTTCTACTTCCCATGGCTCTTAAATTCTACTACCAAATAATGTTGGTGGTATATATAATAATTTTCAAAGACTCAGACTTTTATGTTTACTAGTATCTGAGAAATGATACATAAATCACAAGCATCTAAGAAATGAAAACATTCCTAATCCATCTCTAGCAAAGCCTCATCTATCACAAGGAGTTAAGGTCTCTACTAATTTAAGCGCCTTGTTAGCAACCCTTGCAAACCAATCTAGAATTATATGGAATACAAAATCTTTCACTTTGAGAAATCTTAAAAAATAAAACATTGCTGCTAGAACCCACGAAGGATCACTAATGGTGTGCAGAAAAGAATCAGCGGTTGTAAACTGGAGATGTGGGGTCCAGCGTCAAACCACTGGGTCTGGGTCTTCGGCTCCAAGTACCCCTTCTCTGGTCAACCTTCCCTTTCATAGACTTACAAGACTGAGGATAAGGCAGGCAAGTTTCTTTAGCTCTAAACTCTTTTTGAAACTTTAAGTATATGCTTCTAATAATCATTAAACTCTCAAAGTGCAGGTGACATGGAATGAGTCTGTGGCACAGGACAGGACAACCCAGGAGTCCTCCAAGTTACAGCATAAAGTATCAAACCATTTAAAAGTCGAAATTTCTAAGCAGCAGTTTAAAATGAGATTAAGCAACACATCGAATGTGGACAATATTCAAGAGAAGGTGCGGGCGTCCACTGGGAAGTTGCTGTTTACATTTGGAGTCTTGGAGACCACCTGTGCATTTATTTCTGTCGCCCTTCCTCAGTGTCTCATTCTCTGCTCTAACCACCATCTCTGATTAAAATCCAAACCTTCACCCTTTTCCTGTGTTCAACCCTTCCGTTTTCCAAATCCCCAATAGGAGGAACCCCTCCAGAAAGGTCCATAGTTATTTAATGAATTGCACTTTTTGATCACTTCAGTTGGACATTACTTCTTT